GGGTGATGGAGGCTGGGATGGTTGCTTTGCCATGCTTGCTTTGTATCTCTTCGGCTTGTGGGAGATTGGTTGCTTGGGTTTACTATAGTTTATTACTCGCCAAATGGATCCAAATGGCGTTCCAACCGTTGTACTTTTTGTAGCTCATCGTTTCCCAGACCCCGTTGGCTTTGCGTTTTCTGCTTGTGTCGGATGGGAGTTTCCTCGTTTCAACACCATTCAACCTGTATACAATAGGTTTTGGGGGTACTCTATGATACTATGTACAGGTGTTTCGTCTCGTGCAGGTCCCCAGAATCCAAGGAACCTCCGAAAGTTATCTGAAAGAGCTGGTTATCCCAGGTGTTTCGAAAAATCGCCAGCTCTACACTTACTGTGTAAGGAAAGCGCATCGGCGCATCGGCACTCGGTGGACCGCGGCTCAACCTCTCTGGAGATCAGCGTTGTGTGTGTCATAGCCTGGGAGGTGGCGAAAGGTGACAATTCTCTGGTGTCATCTTTCTCTACCCCACACCTCAAAAATCATCAAAAATCCCCAAAGATCCTCAAAGTGTAGTGCCACACAGCCAAAGTCCAAAGATCTGACCAAAACAGTGCAGCGGCGCTACATCTCTTTTGACGCGGCTAGGAAGCAGCGCGTATCCTATCCATGTCAGAAGTTGGTAATTCTATGATTTCAGCAATGGATTTTTGCCGGACTTGAAATACACTCCCAACATTTGTCAATGGGACATATGTGACATAGGACATAGTAGGACAGCCATTGTAGTTGTTGTCAGGAGCCCAAACATAGCAAAATGCCCATCGCATGCAAATCACCTCGGACTACCACCAGCCAGAGGGTCAAAAACCTTCCAGCTTCACAAGCTCATGCAATGACAACAATAAAATCGGGGAGACGGGGTGAATTCCCGATACAGAAGGAAACAGAAGGCTTCTGCTGCTGTCTCCTTCTTCAAAATTTCTTGGAAGAGTTGTGAAAGGAACTTTTCCATCGAGGTTGTCAATCAAGGTTGTCATTCACGTATTTGATGACTTCATTAGCTACTGGTCAGGGCAATGCTGTCATCCACAAAGTCTTGGTAGTCATCAAAGTCTGGCTGATCATCGTAGAGGTTGGACTCGTCGTAGTCGTCAAAGTCCTCTTCATCGTAGAGGTTGGACTCGTCGTAGTCGTCAAAGTCCTCTGGCTGATCATCGTAGAGGTTGGACTCGTCGTAGTCGTCAAAGTCCTCGTAGTCGTTATAATCGTCGTAGTCGTCGTAGTCCTCTTGGTACTCGTGGCTGGCTTCCGACGCAAGTGAGAAAGCTGCGAGAGCTGTGACACCAACTGTAGCAAGCGCAATCTGCCCAAAGTTGGCTCCCATTGCAGCCAATTGAATGCCCAAGGCACTCTGGAACCTGATAAAAAGTAAGACTTGTTGCAGAGCATCCAGCTAACATGCTAGTTCTCAGCAGTTGTGTATGTGATTGTGTGTGCTTTCCACATTTCTGGGTTGCGAACTGTGCTTTTTGAAATGAGCACTGCGGCATGCAGAGCATCGGCTGCATCTGGTCACCCCATTGTGGTCAGTCCCTCGATCCTGAGCCCCCAGGCGATTTTTCAACGACGAGCAGCTCGGTTTTTGGCGTGGCAAAGCAGGTAAGGGCCGAAGCGAGGAAGGAAACGAACTATCAAATTGAAGTACAGCCTCAACATTGGTTTGACCAAACCTTTCCAGATTGATTTTCAGTGGGAAAAAAACACCTAAGGAACATTCCCAGAGGATCCAAAGATATCCAAAGTATGGATTTCCGTCTGTTTATTGTCCGATAGATTTCCGGTAAAATCCGATAAATTTGGAAGCAGAGCATCATAAACGCTGACCTTATCACGGTTTGTCAGGGTTTGTGAGGCACGGTCTGTCACTGCATTCGGACAATGCCCAAGATTTAAATATTATCGTTTATCTCCCGTCACGGTTTGTTTATGTTTGTTACGTTTCGTCGCGGTTCGTCACGGTCTTGTCACGCAAACTGAAGCGAATATAGCCTGTTTTCAGACAACATGCGCTATTTGCAATCGCGAGAAATGACCTCATGATTTACGTGCATTTCCGATCATTTCAGATTTGATCCTACTTATGTGGCGTGGATCCTCAGGCATCAGGGACTGAAGCTCAACATGAACTCATCAGCTTAACCTCATAAGGATCCTTCTGCAATCGAAACCCTGGTTAAGTATTGGATTCGTTCATTTTGGGCCCTTTTTTGGGGTTGCTAGTTGATATTATATTGGCAAAAATTGGCTATAATATCTATAATATATATATATATATTGTAATATATATAATAATATATATATAATTAATATATAAATAATACAATATATATATATATTATATATATTATATTAACTATATATATATATATATATATTATGCATTTTAGGATGGTTGAAACATGTTAAACCTCTACTTTTTAATGGCAAAAATTGGCTAAATACATCGAAAACATCGCTTGGATTCTCCAGGATTCTACACCGGGCCTCTGGTCGTGGCTTCAAGGTCGCACCACGTCCTCTTCAGCGTATATTCTATCCATATTCCTGTTTCTATATTTATATACATCTAGATTTACATCTACATCTAGATCTACATCTAGATCTACATCTAGATCTATATCTACATTTACATCTAAACCTATATCATCCTATATCTATATCTACATCTATTCTATCTGTAGTACGAATAAATATGTAAAATTATACATGATAATTGTGGAAGTGGGGTTTCAACCCCAAATGGGTGCGGGTCAAGACTGAACGACCATAAAGCCGCTGCTCGGTGAAGTCTGAGCCCTGAGTCCGTCCTTTGAGCTGTACGTTTGGACGACCTGGCCATCTGCTGGGGGAAGCAGCACCCTTTGACATGAGGGTCGATATATAGATTATATTATATATATATATATATTATACACAATCTATTAATTATTTATTATTTATGTATATATATATAATTATACGTACAATTATGTACATATCAACCCCAAAAACGACAGCCAAATAAATCCTACCAAAGTAGTTGCTTGTCACCAGCACGTCCTTAAATCCACTGGTTAATCATCGGTTTCCTTCTTAGAACTCCCATAGTGGGTGCTATATCATATTTTCAGACACATCCAATTCGATAAAAGAAGTAAAACTCCAATGTTTATAGCAACCCAAAGATAGAAAAGTAGTTTATCAATGTTTATCACTGTTAGTAGGCTTTCACTGTTCGATCGTTTTGGGGAATACGATATGTAGATAAACCTCCGTGTTTGATGGCTATGTCCCCAAAATCAAGCTCTCATGTTCAGACACACCCCAAGATGCAATCTTCGCCGGGTGCCGCCTGAGCTATCACCAGGCCTAGCCATTAGCTGGGGGAGAAACCCCACAACCAACATGGATGACGTAATGTTTACCCAGCAAACATGTGGAGTTTGACAGCAAACATGAAGGATTTCTGTGATTTTTGTTTTACCCATGGAGAATGAGGATTTTGTCCCGCCGATGAACATGGCAATGGAGACTCTTGATGTTTAACGAGAAAGTCATCTAGAAAAGGCTTGAACTGGGAGAACTGCATGGCCGCCATGCTGGTTGAACTCAGAAGGTTTTTAACTGAGAAATCATCTGGATGAAATATCAATTATATCAATCATGATTTAACCCAATTATCAATCATTACTGGTTTAACATGGTTTAACATGGTTTAACATGGTTTAACATGGTTTAACTATCGAGATTGATCATGTTCCAGAATGTTCCCATAGAGGACAATTCCCCTCCTGTTCTCACACAGTGACGTCTCACATCGCACCACGTTAGGTGCCTCCCATCGCTATCTGCATGGCTTCGCCGCCTGGGTCGAGGTGCCTCTGATCCTACTGTTGATGGTTAATGCGATAAATCCCAATTGATCAATTGACAATGGTTAATACTAATGCTTAAATCCTACTGTTAATGGTTAATACTAATGTTGATGTCAAAACATTGATCAATTTATTGGGGGCCCCCTAGCGGCGCCTGCTGCGGCTTTCGGTGCGACCCTCTGTGGGCATCGCCGCCCTGCCATGACATTCCGTATTTAATATATTGGAATGGGATGAATTCCGATGTTTGGAGAAATTCTGGATTTCTATGGATTTCTTGTATTCGAAGGATCACATCCGAGGGAGTAGTGGACTTTTCGCTTCAGACCACCTGAGTGTTGGGAAAAAAACCTCTACCAAAGGGCAACAACATGTAACACAAAACTGTAGACACATTCTACCCACCCGCAGCTAGGCACGGCAGCAATTTTGGTGATTTCCTGCGCAGTTTCCCAAGCTCCACCATCCGTCACCTCCATCTGCCCCTTGGGCAGGAATCGCGGTGGCTTGGGACCCGACCTGGGACCCATCAACCCATGGACAGGAGCTAGGGATATTTAATGATATATAGGGATATGATCCTGCTAGCAATTGAAATGGGTTTTAAATGGCTTTCAACAAACCGGGCACAGACTAGTCCGTCTTGCAATGTTCATTCACCCAATGTTGGTAGTTGGTGTTGTAATTATTGTGTTTGATCACACATATACCCGGCCCTTACCCAAATCGTCAGGTTTTGCCAGGCTTGGAGCCCTCACGAATCGCGGCGACCCAGCTCCGTCGCTCTAAGCTAAAGCCAAAACGTGGGTTGCCGAAGGTACCTGCCATGTATACCTTCCGAAATGATCGAAATGCCTGGGGGCTACCATGGGCTACCTGGTTACCTCAGAGAGCTGCCCACACACCTTTTGAGAGCTGCGGAATACGGAAAAACATCGGGCCACTTTGGCCTGTCTTTCTAGGGGCACACAGCCCCTGCGATAGCTCATCGGCTCCAAACATCATCGGGGGTCAAAACTGGGTACCCAAGAAACTTGTACCGATGGCTTTGATTACTTGCTTGAATAATTTGGTATGGTTCAATGCTATTCGATTCTGAAAATGTCCACTCCATCTCTGGGTCCCATGTCTTCAAGAGCACGGCAATCTCACTTTTCGGGCGGGATGATTCCCAAAGCCACCAATTCCTCTGCTCTCATCTGATTCATTCTCCTCCCAATGAATGGATCGCCCGATTCCACGGGTGCCACTGGCCCCGCGGCATAGCCACCATGGCCCGTCCCCATCGGTTCAGGCACCGCCGGCACCGCCGCAGGAGCCGCCACCGGCATCACAGGTGCCGCCGGCATAGCAGGGGCAGCTGGTGGTTGATTGGAAGGTTCAGGAGCAATGGACTTGAAGGACCACTCCTCCTAAGGCACTTGTGTTTTTGGATGTTACTGGACTTCCCAAAATGCTTCCAAGATCCACTTGACTTTTTGCCACAAATTCAAGACCCGGGGACTAGCAACAGCAACTAATTGCCACATTAAAGGGTGACCATTGGGAAAACCAAACTTGTCGGCTATTGTACTGCTGCATCCCCACTTTTCCAAACACTCCAATCCTAACCTCCAAAATTTGGTGTGGCTCAAAATTCTTGAACCCCCACTTTTGGGATGCTTCAATATGTTACCAACTATTCCCGGCCATTTTTCTACAGGTCCACCAAATGGACTGCCCGTCCTGTGGCGTAGCTTCCACACGCCAGGCGTAGTTCCCAAAGGCTCCCGCCGCTGCTGCCGAGCGCCGCTGCTGCCAGCCCGACGGCAGGCCCACCTCGTCGCAAGCGGCATCTTCTGTAACGGGAGGCACAGGCGGCCTGGCGGAATGGTGGTAACTTATGGTGACTCGGTTGTTTTAGATCCCAAAATGATCCCAGATCCGTGATCCAAAAATGATCCAAAAGTGATCCAAGCGTCAACCGGGGTTGATCACCTGGATGAAGCCACCATCCCAGTGGCTAAAGCCATGTGTGACCATGGTTTCCAACCAAGTCCTGCATGGCACCCCCTCCCTCCATCGCCTCAGTCGATCCTCTCTAAGCCGCGCCAGCACTGCAGCGGTCCAAGACTCGGCACCCCTTAACAGCTCCAGTTGCACTGGGCACCCGGCACTGAGATGCAGCAAATGTGTGGCCCATCCTGATGTGATGCCACAAGATCCACAAGGCCAGGGGATTGGTGTCATGGCACACATGGCTATGGGTCAAAATTGGGCACCGAAAAATCGGATGGTCCTCCGAGTCCTCCGGGGTTGAAATGTCGACCACCCGGAAAAAACCAATCCATTCTGAAAATTAGGCAGGCATGCACAGCATTCTTTTGATCTCGTTGCTACATCGATGCTGCACAGCACCTTCAGTGTCCCCAAAATTCAAATCCCTCCTGAATCTTAGCCAAAACTACTTTCCTCACAGGGCACTCAACCCAGGACATCACGGAAAACCTGGCATGCTTCCTAATGAGCTCTGTGCCAACCTAACCTACCCACTATCCACATTCTGGACACTCCGTAGCAATATTGTTCAACTATGTTCAACTAATCCCCAGGTTAGCAAGAAAAAGGTCCTGAAAGTTTGAGGCATTTTGAAATCTTGAGGCCAAAAAGAATCCTCGGCTCGTCTCCTTGTAAACCATCCAGGATGTGCGTGCAGTACACCACTGTGCAGCCAGCCTCGCTTTCTTCTTTCAAGAACCTAAGCTGCTGAACTTGGAGGAACTTGCAATCCGATCCCATCAAAAATATGAGCCTCAAACATGAGGGTGGATGATGACCATGGGTTTTTAGCCATGTATCCTCCGTTGCAGACTGTGGAAAATGGACAACTTCCCATACCAGTCCATTTCTTGGATTATCTAGGTGTCTTTGAGAACATGGCAAACCTCAATGGACATTCTAATAGGGAAAATGATGGTTCAGAAACTTCACCATTGCATGAAATAAGTCGCCGCTGGACGCCGCTGGCATTAAAGGAACCAAAATCCCAAATCAAAATATCCAGCCAAAGTTGTGTGTACAAAAAAAAGATGGTGTGTAAGACCTCAAAAAAAAGGCTTGGATCTTGGCATCATTCCTGATGGCCCCAACGTAAGTACCACAAGGCCCACCACAGGATCGCGGCAAGTTGCTTCAGAAGCGCATCGCGCGCCAGCACGTCCAGATCTGCTGTGACCTTCTGCCAGATTTGGGGGGATCTGCGGCTGCGGGATCCCCAAAACCATGGGTTTTGATACAAAATGGTCTGCACTTTGGATGATTTTTCTTTGTTTAGCTGCGGAATCCCTTATTTCGATGTGTTAGGTGTGGATTGTGTCAGAGAAACTTTGGAGGCAAACAGGAAGATCGTGTAGATAGTGACAGGCTGATTGCAAGAATGTGACAGGCAACGGAGTGATGAGTGATTTTTTAATCAACACGGCTATCTGGTGGGATCTCGACGAGTTTTGGATTGACGACACCGCAACAGATGACGTGGAAAACGATTACCAAATTCTATCAGATTCATATGGAAACAAATTCCAAAAACAGGGACAGTCCAATCTATGACTCCCAGTGATGTGATGTTCTTCCCACCAAACGTTCGTCGAGGTCCAAGCACCTCATCCACCAACAGAAGTTTGGCAGGTTTCAGCAGTTTCAGCACCAGCTGAACTCGTCCTGGACACACTGAATTTCAGCAAAAAATGTGGTGCTTGCCATGGTAACCTCAATAATACACCCAAACACCGACATATAGAAGGATGAATTACAGGTATGGTTAACCGCCAACATTTGTTGATTGTCCTGTGGTTCACCCCATTCAATACATTACTAGATACTATATTATATGATATTACATTTTATTGTAGTACATTATTGTACTATATCATATGATATTATACTATATATATATATTACATTATATACTGTATTCTATTATACTGTATACTATACTATATTATATTATATTGTATTATATTATTTTGTATTATATTTTTTTATACTGTATTAATGTATATTGTATATCGCATATTGTACATTACATTGCATATTGTAATGGATATTATATTGTCTATCATATGATATTTTAGTATATAATATTATTTGTTGATTCATATGATGTTATATTGTATATTGTGTATTTATCGTATTGTGTTGTATTGTGTTATGCTATGTTGTGTTCTATCATGTTATATCATGTTATATAATGTTTATAATATTATGGTTTGTTATGTTATCTTGTGTTATGTGTTATACATTATTATCAAACTAGTTTGTATTATATTATATCACATGATGTTCTACTATATTAAAGATATTCGATTACATTGCAGTGCAGTACAGTACATTACAGCACACTACATGACATTATACTACATTATAGTATATTATGGTATTTTACATTATTTATATGTATATAGTATGTGTATATATATATATATATGTGACCATATAGCTCACCCACCCCCACACACACACACACACACATATATATATATATATACATATATATATATACACATTATAATATATGTATGTATATATATATATCATTATATCCCATTCTTTATAACAGGGTAACCCCCCCGAAGAAACATCGTCCACACGAGGCCGGTTTCTTTGTCACAACAAGTGTCGGAGTCCGCCATCCGACAGCAAGCCCAAACTCTTGGTGGGTTCTACACCCAACATCTGAACCTAGGATGGACGCATGTGTGTGACGATTGGATACGATTGGTTCAATGGTAAATCTTTACACCAGAAACCACTGGGCTTTACCATCGAATAGATTTATCATATATGCATATTTTTGGGGGGTCTGATAGTTGTTCCCATCATCCGATTCGTTTCAACATGTCATGGTCGCAAAAAACCAAGGGTCTCCAAAGGGTCAGTTTTTGGGCGGTTGATCCTTCCCAAGAATCGAATGTATGGTAAGGTCAGCCAATACTGTCACTATAACTGCTATAACTCACAGGGGTTCAGTGAACACATATGAACACATCCCCATTCTGTTGCTGAAAACCATCTTTGGCTGGCTGAGATTCCCATTTCCCATATTTGCTGGTCAAACCTCCACGTTTCGGGGGTTGAATCCTGTATGAAAAAAAGCCCTCCCAAATAGTTGGTCATTTTGCACCCGGCCCACCCTGGAAAAAATCCTCAAAAAACCACAAAGCAACATAAACCATCTACAAACCCTACAAATGATGGTTCAATCTTGTGCAATCTTGTTGAAATCCCCATGAAATCATCGGACATACCAACAGCTTCTTTTTGTGCCCAGGTACCAAGCGCAGCATCCGTTTCGCCAGCAGCATGGCATCAAAACCGTCTTGTTGCAGCTCTGCCAGCGCGGCATCTGCCAAGTCCTGTGCGTTTTGGGAATGGAAAATAGCTGGAAAATGATGGGTTAACCAATGTTAACCAATGTTAACCAGGGAAAATGGCTGGAAAATGGTTGAAAAATAGCTGGACAATGGGGAACAAAGCCACGGTGGAAAATTCTGGAAACATGTGGATCCCGAAACGGGAAGATGGTTGGTTGGTGCATGGTTGGAACATAGGAATGGGGAAGAACAAACACGACTTTTGAGGGACCTCTCAAAAGTGGAAAAGTACCATGGCCTTTCTCGGGACAATTTTGGGACAGTGAGATTTTGCAGCGTTGGTAAACCAAGAAATCGGGTTATGGGATGCAATCAATGAAATCCACCAATGGACCAATGGTTCTGGTTGGTGGTTTCAACTCACCCCAGTACCTGTCCCTTCAAAAGCAGCTGCTGCGGTTCCAAAAAGCCCAAAGCATTCTGAAGATTGGAAGTTGTAAGTGTTAAAAACTCAAAACATTGGTAAAAATGCCTCAGGTTGGATACCAAAACTCCTTGAAGAATGTGATTAAACGCTATTCAAAAAGTGAAAATGAGCTGACGCCACCAGTTCACGACTCTCCTTGAAGGTCAGTTGTCCACGCATCTGCGACACCTCACAAGCCAAGAAGAATGGGGATACACCGGTGATATCATGGAGATATCATGGGAATATCGGCAATATCACATGTTCGATATGATTTAAGCATATTTAAGCAGCCATCAGTAATTACATCATGGACCAAATATAGGCACATATATACCATACAGATCTATACAGTACATCTGCAATTGCAGATGCTACTGATCGAAACTCACCAGCAGTGCGCGCACAACAAACAATAGGTTCAACATGGTGATATTTCTGGGTTCACTCACTCAACCTGTCATTCCGTGAAATACTGGTTGGTTAAGAACGAGATTCCCACGACAATGGATTATGATAATCCCCAATACTGTATATTCAACCACCGAACGAATCATCAACCAACAGGGGTTTTGAACACCGCTCAATTGGCGATTCATCAAGCCATTTTGCCAAATGCCACCAAAAGGGGATGTTCAAACTAATTTACCAATTTCAAATTGCCTGATGTTTATACTTAAGTTCATAGGTTCTGTTAGATACGTTAATTTTTATAAATCCTTGGGATCAGTTGCCATTTCTTGGAAGTCAATGGATTTCGATTAATTTCCAGTGCGCCTGTCGTTTCCACTCGCTGCTGAGAATGCAAAGCTCCCGGTCAAGTGCGCGATCCTCACCAATGGAAGTTTTGGGGGCTAGGGGTACTATGGGGTGTTGTATTGTAAAGATATCATATAGATATTAGATACTGGTATAGTTTCTTGAAACAATACATTAATATAGACATACGTAGATGATATAGATGTATATATAGATGTGTATATATATATACTATATTATATCATATATAATCTATATGAACTATAAGCATACAGAATCATGTAGATGTATAGGGGTTCCAAGAACAAGAGCGGAAGGCCATCCTATGTTGATGGTCCTTAGACATTACAGTCATTACAGTCATCATCGCAACTGGGTGATGGAAGTGTAAAGATGGTGGTAGGGAACAGTGGTTGTAATATGTTGTAATACCCTCCGGTAATCAAGCATGGCTAGCTTGAAAAAACCCACAGTATTGATGATTGTCCCAGCTAGAAGCTCCATTTAGTTCGGGGATTTCCCAGCACCCCATCTGCCATCTTCAGCCCCATTCGTCTGTCCTGAAAGGGTTGATGTCCCAGAACCTCCAAGATCTTAGCCTTGGCCATTCGACGACCTGCAATGATGTTGAGCAACGTGGATTTGCCTCAAGGTCTTGGCACGGATACCATGGGCATCAAGGTGTGTGGAATTCGATCATGTTTAAATATCTTCACGGCTCGGTGGCTTTGTGTAAGAAACTATAAACAAACGGGATCCTGAAAGGTACAGAATTCAAGACAAGTCTTCCCAAGTGACTGCTTTTTGTCAGTACAGTACGAGGAGGCCTCTGTCAATTGATCTCGAGTTTGTACGAATAGATTTGACCATCCTCCCCTGAGTACTTAGAGGGAGCTGGCTGGCGCCTGAATGCCTTTGTCAACAAGACTTAAAATCTGCCGCAAGGGTGTGTTATGGGGCTCCCCCAAGATGCCCCTAATGGCGATTTTCATGGGGAAAATGATGATCAGCTAATGATCAACCATCATTTCATCATATTTCATCGGTGGATTTCTCATCATTTTCAGGTCCGGCCAAGGTGCCACTTCCGTTGAGACCCAACAGCAAGCAACGACAGCTGGCTGGCAGCGTGAGTTCATCCACCTGGGTGCCGCTTATCAGTTCGTCCACGATTCGTTGGTGACGTTTCCAATCTTTTGTGATTCAAATCCCGATGTTTTCAGAATATTATTTCATATGCTGAAAAAACATATATAAGAGAATTCCCAGCCGGATTTTCATCATCCGAAAAGATCCTCTTGAAATACAAATGGCCAGTTACTAACCCCCCTGTCTTCATCAAAATCAACCAAGGCCAGGTCATGCCACGCGCACAGCTCCTCTCAAGCCGTACTCAAAGTTCAGCTCGCAGATCTTCACCACGTCGCCGCGGACGTTGTTCGTGGCCGCGGGGTCCGCGGGGTCCGCGGGGTCCGCAGGGTGGCTGGGAACTGCAGACCTGTCCTTGGAAACTGCAGACCTGTCCCAAAATATGGAGGTTTTTACTACTACTACAACAACAACAACAACAACAACATCGACATGTGGAAATATCATGAAGCATACCACGTTTGTAGATGATTTACCGAAAGTGTTTTTTTTCATGCATGTTCCATCATTTTCCCAGTGTCAGGTTGGATTGCATCAGCTGTGCCCTGGGTGCATATTCAAAAACAAAAACCAAGACTCCAAGGGGGAACATGTTCCAAGAACCAAGGTCCCAAGGTTTCGAAAGATTCCATCCAGGTCTTGTTCATCAATCCAAACAAGTTTCCAAGGATTCATTTGGGGCTACCGAGCTTAAGATGCTTAAGCCAATGAATCCATTGAATGAAATCCAAGATGTTCATTTTCCCCACGAGCCATCGGGATGTTCACCACGTTTTCGGCTCCCTGCCACCACTCTGAGCCATCCCAAAAAAAAAGGCTCTGCCGAAAGGGCCACCACCACTCGCTGGAAAATGTCTTGCCCTGGTTCCAGCGCATCCAACTGATGCTGCCCACCCTCCAAGCGCAACAAATGCGTGGCCCAACCTGTGAATTCAGTGGCCAGTTGCCAGGGGAGAAGGGACAACAACTGGATACCCCCAAAAAGATCATGTTTAAAAGATTACGTAGCAATATGTACTTTCCCAAGTCTTGACCCCATATCCATACAATTCCATACATTCCAATGTTTCATCGTAAAACCTTCCATTTTTGTTATAGCTAAGACCTCTATTTTGCGTGGTTGTAACCTAGTTCCGTGGCTCAATTCGTACTTAAGACTCTTTCCTTGGTCGAAATCTCCATCAATGTTGCTTTGAATTCTGGGTATGCAGGGCATATCAGTTTGTATCACGGTAGATTCCCATTTTTTCTGGAAGCAATTCACATCTTCGTGGTCCAACCTTCACATGCATCGAAGACATGGGTGACGTTCAGCACCGTGCAGCTTTCCGAGGCCAGGAAATCCAAGAGATCCTGACTTCAGCGTCATGGAACCGAACCAACGATCCACAAAGGTGGGCTGAGAAAATAGGATGTTCCAATATATATATATATATATATGGGTATGGATCAATACCTATTAATACCATTTTTAGGGGGATGAACATCAAAGTAGTTTGATGTTTTGGAAACCCTTTGTGGATCAAACCATTTGAGATAGCATGTTTCGAAAATAGGATTATATAATATTATATAAAGGAAAAAACACACCTGGTTTTGGACATGATTTTCCACTTGAAACATGTCAATTTCGAGGTTTTGCCTGTGGTTTGAAAAAGAAGCAATAAGAGGACATGCATGACGATTGATGATGATAACGGTCATGTTATGTCATCTTATGTCATCTCATGTCATCTTATGTCATCTCATGTCATCTTATGTCATCTTATGTCATCTTGCAGCTACATGCAGCTACTAGATACCTATTTGAGTTGCCCTGAGCCCTGGATAGCCCTGGCGGCCTGTCGCACGAGCATGTCCAGTTCCGCCGTGATCTCATCCAGCAGGACCTTAGGGCGCCACCAACGAAACCTGTTCATTGCTGGTACTGGCTCTAAACCCTTTGAAGAGGAATCAAAATACCCTCTGGTAATTTAACATATAGCTATTGAAATTTACCATTTATAGTGGATTTACCAATTGAAAATGGTGATTTTCCATAGTTATGTTAGCCACAGGGTAATGTTTCTTCACCTCGGATTGGTGGATTGGTTCAAGTGAAGATCTAGAAACATCATGAAACATCTGGAAAAAAAGACAGAAGGTTTCGCCTGGCTTCACTTCGTTTCTTTCCGGGCTCCTCCCAACTCTCCAAAAAACAGGTGCTGGCTGGGGCCTCTCCACTTAATTGAAGACCAGCTCACCAGCGTACCCTGGTGTTCACACCAAAATAGCGGACAATACTTGCTGGTGAAGTCCCATTTCCATGAGTGTTTCATATGTTTCATTCTTGACGGATAAATCCCCCCTTTGGTTTCTCAATTTTTGATGCATCCCAAGTTCCCCTCTGGCAATCCCAAGAATCTCAATGGTTCTTGGTGAACATCCCCAGATACTGGCAATTTAACATCGCCATTGAAAATCACCATGTTTTTTTTGAGCATTGGAACATTCTTATCTGTAGAATGGGGCAATGTTTATCCATGTTTATCCATGTTCCATAGCTATGTGTTTTTTTGGAGGTAAATCCCTGCCGAACTCCGGCGACCACGTGACCACCTGCTTGGGTTCCCTCAGTCGACGTACCAGCTCCACCCGACAGCGCTGCCCGTCGCTGAGATGGCCCAAATAGCTGGACCAAAAGCTCTGCACGTCCAGCACCTGGTCAGCTGGACCACCAGAGGTATCAGAAACCCCAAAGAAAACAACACAAGTGGGGAAGATCAAGCAATTCTACTTGGGCACATCATGCAATTATACTTTTTGGCACATCATGAATTGGCCGGTGATTTGTGGCAATAAGGAGGCTGGTTGAGATGTGTGAGATTCCCCTGACATTGATCCGGTGTCACATAGGATGGTCAAAAAACCACATCGATATCAATCGCCCAAATCGACATGTTCCTGCGGTTCTATCCTAATTTTTTGCCACTACATCCTCAGGTTTGCTGGCTATCTCAGGTAATAGTTCCATTATAGTTGCTGGTCATGTCTCTGTTTGTACCGGCCATTGTTGGGTAAAGATCCCAAAACTTCTTCGGTACACCTTTTTGAACCCCACTTGCTGCTTTCCTCAAATTCCAATCCTCGCTGTTGATATCCCCTGTATGAGTCGCAACCCCGAAAAAATGGCCATTCTAAGACTGGACACCATAATTAACCATGGATTTTGGCGGGTTCAAAATTTGAGACAAACCCAATGAATAAATGAACTGATGTTTTCCCAGATTTCTCTGGTTTTTTTTGGCCTTCATCAAGCGCCCCAGGTAGCTGGTGGCATCTGGCAACTCTTCACCAAGTAATTCAAAGACCTGCAGAAGCAGAGCTGGCAGAAAGGATGGCAACCACAACCGATCTTCACTTTTGGAATGAATATCAGCCATAAAATGGTAAGAAATCGTTGGAAGTGTGGGGCCAGCAACCAAAATCCATCTCCAGCTGGATTTGTCAAGAAAAGGGGGCGCCCTTAAAATGCAACAGCTAATCATCATGTCCTATATTTTTTCTATTGAAGCTGCCCTGAATTGGGGATATCCTCAAGTTTTGAACGAACCCATGGCTGGGTTGGGCACGGTGCCTTCATCTGCGCCATCCTTTCTTCGATAGCAGGGTCAGCTCGCAATGGGGCGCCGCCACTGACCAGCACCACTTGCTGGCCGCTGCGGCCACGGAAAGGGTCCTTCGGATGCTTCAAACAACCATTGGTCAAGAGAAGGCTTCAGTGATTTATCCAACGATTGGCTGCAGAAATAACATGAAATAACTATAATCAACATTAATCAACTACATAATTCACATATATTCACATGTCATTGTCATCAAGATTTCATGAGATTTTCAACGTTTTATGACCTGTCTCCGCGGCGCCTCTCCGCAGATTTCCAGCGTCCCGGCAGGCGCCATCTTCTGCCCCGACAACAGCTGCAGCAGGGTAGACTTCCCTGCCCCATTGCGACCCACGCAGAGGCACCGCGCCCCAAAGGGCAAAGAGAAGCTGATGCCTCCGAGGTCACTTCCGAGGTCACAGGATCTTGGGGCAGGCTTGATCTTTTTGACTGGAAATGTGATGTAATATGATGTAATCAGCAACCCTAATAGGCCCTAAAGGACCTCAAAAAGTACATTCCCAGAAGGTTTGATAGCATGCCGAATGTCTACGCGCCGAGGTTTTATAGCATTGCCGAATTCTGACTGCCAAGGTGTTAGATAAAGATTACTATCCATGAGTCATCCCTGTAAAAAGCAGGTTTCCAACCTGAGAAGCTACTTCTTTTTCCTCCCCGAAATGCTGTGTAATCAGCAACTTAAGTGGGAACCACTCTCTTAAAATAGGTGCGCCCCAAGTTCTCATCCAAAATTATGGATTCTTGTTGGAGGGGAAAGCAATGGTAAGCAATCCACTTTCTTTCAATGCATTTCATTTGATACATATCCAAATGAGTCAACAAACAGGTCGCGACAAAAAAGATCGACCGCGCAGTTTTTGTGACACCTGGATGCCCATGTAGAACAGTGTTTTTAGCTGGTTGGGTTCAATCCTCATCGTTCTGTTGGTCATATCTCCGTGCGTCGGTCGCATGTTCGTTCATCTTCGTTCGTTATTATGTACCCCGGTATCCCCCATGTTCGTTGCTGCACCCCCCAATGTTTCTCTCTCATTTTCCCGTTGTCGTTTTTGCTTAACACCCCACTTGTTGGTGAAAAACTGGCCTAGCACCAGGAAGTGTTGTTTCAATGCCCCCATGCCTTCCAGTACGGGTTTGCCCCCAGGAAGCGGCGCAAAGGTCAAGGACGAAACTTTGATCGCCATGGCGTCGCAAAGGTGGTGCTGGCAGGGAGTAGCTGCAACCAAGCCATGCAACTCAACATGGGAAGTCCATGGAATTCGGGGAAGCGATGGGAAGCGCAAGGTTGCCGTGGCACGAAGTTTGGTTGGAGTATTTGGAACGCGTTATGAAACCGATGGTTGGTTCCTTCCCCATCTTGCTTCTAGTTTCCCTGTATATTATATATGTTTTTTGTAGGGTAGCCCCATGGAAGCTGACGCAACAGGAGTCTTGCTTCTATGCTCAAGCGGTAACTGTGATATGGCAGGGAGTTGCTTGGGGCAGCGATGAGCAAGGTGAGTTTGTGTCTGTATGTTCCACAAAAGGGCCGCTCCATGAAAATCGGTTCTTTCAGCAGGCAGGAAACTGATGGTTGGGATATCACCGTAGTATCACCAAGTTTTGGATACATTTTGGATCCCATCAAATTTTCTTGTCTTGAAAGAGGTTGCGAGTTTGGCAAACAGCCTAGGATAGCCTGGTTGCATAGCCACTCTTGACAGCACCTGGGCCAATTAAGAAGCACCACAGATCCTGGCCATATGTTTTTGTTGACACTTGAAAGTACCATATGCAAAATTATCCAGATATGTTTATAAACCATCCATCTTTTAAGTGAGTATGACCCAACCCAAAACGGCCTCTAGTATCTGGATTTGCCCAGAAATGGTGGTGGATACACTAATCTATAATGGAAATAGAAAATGGGGAAAACGATTTTCTAAACCTGAACTATCCCCCGTGAGTGTGGACAATATCCCCCCGGTGTTTGGACAAAGCCACACTAGGGATATTAACCAATCAACCTGGTTTTGTTTGTCGGATTTCACCATCAATTGGGATATGGAAATGGTCCATGATGTTCATTTCCCAGTGAAAAGAAGTGGTTGGCTGTTCCCAAAAATTCAAATATATTCAGATTCATATAGATTCATATATTATCATATATTTTTCTCTACTTCAAGCAGTTTTTGTTGGTGGTTCCACTGTTTTTGCTCCATCTACCATCTGGTTATTTAACATAAGCCATGGAAAATGTCCCATTTCTAATAGGTAAACCATCTATAAATGGACCATTTTCCATGGCTATGTTAAATAACCAGAGGGTAACTGGACGTCTTTTTTGGTTCCTCCAGTCGCGGAAGATGGGAAATCGCCACTGGCTCAGGCTGCAGGAGCCGGGCTGCTGGTCTCCTGGGGGTGGAGAAAAATGGCTGATCTTCAGATATATGTTGAACTATATACTATATGTTATTTTAGTTTCGTGATTTATATATGATACTGTATCATATCATATTATATATATAATATTACGCGCAAACACCCCGATTTGCCCACACCCCTCCTATGCTGTACACTTGGGGATATCAAACGTTAGACTTTACATTCATTTGGGAAGATCAACAAGGGTATCTAGGGAATATAAATTTCCCACCCCCGTTAAACTTCTACATTCATTGAAGATCTTCAATAATGGTTTAATTCTCCCACCCCCGTTAAACTTCTACATTCATTGAAGATCTTCAATAAGGGTTTAATTCTCCCACCTCCGTTAAACTTCTAAATTCATTGAAGATCTTCAAGAAGGGTGTAATTCTCCCACCCCCGTTAAACTTCTACATTCACTGAAGATCTTCAATAAGGGTTTAATTTCTCCCTCCCCGGTTAAACTTCTACATTCACTGAAGATCTTCAATAAGGGTTTATTTCTCCCACCCCCGTTAAACTTCTACATTCATTGAAGATCTTCAATAAGGGTTTAATTTCTCCCACCCCCGTTAAACTTCTACATTCATTGAAGATCTTCAATAAGGGTTTAATTCTCCCACCCCAGTTAAACATCTACATTCATTGAAGATCTTCAATAAGGGTTTGATGATGATGATGATGATGATGATGTGTAAGAGACTCGCACAGGTCCCTATGCTGTACGTGCCGGTATACAACATGAAGTTAGCCATGATGCAAAAAACTCCCATTTTTACCACGTTTTGAGCACATACGAAGATGGCTGCCGACAAGCGCGGGCAAATCGAGGTGTTTGCCCGCATTATTATATTATATTATATTATATTATGTTATATTATATTATATTATATTGTATTATATTATATTATATTATGTTTTATTATAGTATAGTATATAATAACTTATAGTATAGTATATTATAGTATATAATATAGTATAGTATATTCTATTATAGTATTGTATATTATAGTATATAATATAGAATAGTATATAATATAGTGGTATATTATATTATATTATATTATAATATAGTCATAATATAGTATATTATAATATAATATAGTCATAATATAGTATATTATAATATAATATAGTCATAATATAGTATATTATATTCTATGATATTGTTCTTTATTATATTATATTATATATCATATTATATATCATAGTTCTTTGGACCTGATGTATGTCTTTAAAAAACGGCTGGAGTCTCCCAGCCCACATCACTGGAGCCTCTTCTGCTTTGGCATTGCATTTCATCTGTTCGAAGTAGGCAAGGGTCCTGATCCGACAACCCAGTAGGTTCACCCAAAAAGACCAGGACAATTACAACCCAAACAGTGGAAAAAAAAAACACCAAAAACACCAAACAAAAAACACAACAGTTGAGAACACCAGGGTTCATGGGGGTTTTGCCATCTTCAGAAACTCCAAAGCCAAAACAGCCGAAAACAGAGAAGCGAGTTGATGCTCGATTCCAGTGGTCAAATCATGAAATCCAAACGTCTGCTGTGGGCTCGATCTTCCAATCCTTGCTGAAATCTCTCACGAAGAGCTGTGAATTCAATCAGAAGAGCTGTGGTTTCAATAGATTAAAATACCCTTCTGGTTATTTAACATAGCCATGGAAAATGGTCCATTTCTAGTGAGTTTTCCCATTAAAAATGGTGGATCTTTCCATAGTTATGTTAGTTTACCAGAGGGTATCTTAAAATGACTTCAATGGCTGAAACCTTACCCATCAGTACCCATCAATGCCCATGGGCGTCCGCACTTGGCACGTCCAACTCCCTCTGCTGCACTGGGCAAAACGGAGCCGCGGCCAGGATCATGGGGGCAATGAAGGGGATATGATGTGAATGATGTATGTAAACATATATATATATTACGACAATTATAGTAATATATGTATATATATATATTACAATTATCGTAATATATATGGTCCCCCCCGGCGTCCGGCAACCCCCCTCCCAATGCTATCCCCCCCAGCCCCCACCAGCAATCACCCCCATGGGGGTGGCCAGCCGTCTACCACCATCCGTCAAGATCTCATATGCTATACTTGCTTGCTGGCCTCGTGCCACCTATGCACTACATAACAGGATGACTCCATGCAGTGTTCACTACTGCCTGTAATATGCCCATACAATCTATTTACAACGTATTCCTGCCCATAAAGTACCTTCATAGTAGCCATATACTTGCTACTATCAAGATCTCATGTGCTATACATACGTGCTAGCCACATACTACCTATACACTATCTACATGACACCTCTATAACACTCCACTCATCCCACAGGGGGAGGAGAGGTTGCAGGACTGAGCCATATATATATATGCATATATGTATATATCATGATGCCATGTAGAATTGAAGAAAATAGTCAATGCCGAATATCAAGAGGTCATTTTTTATTTGTTTTCTGGAGGTGTATAAGCGGTTTTATTGTGTATATATATATATTATATTATATATATACATATTATATTATGTATGTATATATATGTATATATATATATATATATTATTATGTATATATATTCTAGTGGTAGTACAATTGCACAAGTCTCATGATTTTCCCATGGATTTGTGTATTGTTTTGCTCTGAAAATGCCTCTGCTCAAAGAGAGTATATACCTTTTATTGCAATGAGTCCACCTCGAAAACGCTGGGAAAACCGTTGGAAAACATGGGAAAACCCATGGGATCATCCACAGATATCCCCACCCAACCTGAAGAGCATGTTGAGAGCAGCCTCAGGAGGCTGGGATCCAAATGGCATGCCACGAAATGCCACAAATATCCACAATATGAAAGACCATAGGGATCACATATATTTCTACCTGACAATTGAATAAGTGAGTTGCTTTAACCGGGAAAATTTTCACAATTTTTCACAAAACAAACCACCTGCCAGAAAAAAAATGTATTTTTTGGAACCACCTGCCGCGATGAAACTACCACTAACCCAGAGCTAACCCACGCCTCATTTCTGCCAGCTGTTTCGTGGTCGTCTAGCTTCTCCTGCTGCAGAAAGCAAGTCACATCACGTGTAAAATATGTATATAACATTAACCCAGCTTTGCAACCCAACAGCATACCTGAATCTTCCACCTACGTCTTTTTTCAGACCCTGTGCCAAAGTCCTGTTTTTTCAGTACCCAGAAAACTTTTCAGGACCTACTCTCAAATTCAGGACCTGGCCATTTTGGGGTATCAATGGTAATGGCAATCATTGGGTGCAAACATGTGAAACCAACATTTGGTGGATATTCAAGCCATTGGCATTGATCCACGCAAATAAAAGCACTCCCAGCCCAAACTCATGGCAAGGCAGGATCAGAATATAGTATATTCCAGAAAGTATGTCAGAATAGATGCCAGATAGGATGCCAGAAAGAATGTCAAATAGAATCTCAGAAAAGAATGTAAGATAGTATGTCAGAACATATATGCCACATATACGTCCAGATGATATGTCAGAAACTATGTCAGAATAGTGTATCAGGGTGGGGATCACTCTTAGTAAGGCAATTTTGAAAATATATTTCAGGTTCGGAATTTTCAAACTGTTGTCCTTCAGGCGCCGAAGCTCCCGTTGAAGGTCAGCATCGCCCCATGTCAACTGGTCCAGTCCCACTTCCATTTCAACAAGTCCAACTTCATCGATTAGGGTGTTGGTTGAATGGACTTGGGACTCTAGCTGGCACGGCATCCCTTGTAACCCTGTAGACACTGTAGTGGGCAAAAAGATTGTAACACACAGAATCAGCATCATTTTGATCAGGCATTCTTTTTGCTAATCCTTTCTCCCTATTACGAAAAATACCCCCAAATGACAAAAACTAGGTGCGATTTCCAATTTTGGGAAATGTCAAATTGGTTAATCTGATTTTTAATTGATCCCCTTGAGGAAACAATTTTAAAAATGAAGGTACCATGTGAGGGTTTCACCCCCAAAGAATAAAAAACTAGTCAACACCGGGGTGTCTTTTATTGGGGTCCGTCCTTTAAAATCGTCAATTTTAGTTTTTTTAATTCAGGTGTTGGTGTTTTATTTGATACTAGGCGAAAGCTTCGAAATCCTATTCTTGGCAGTATTCTATTTAAAGATTATTTTCATGGATTTTGAAATTAGAAACAAAAAACGGTTTAATCCCTTCCCCCTGTTGCTAAACAGTCGCCCCTTCACCCACCCACCCAAATAACAAACACCTGGAGGAGTTTTTAGTATTGGGGGGGTCTTTAGTATTAGGGTACGAAGCTTCCCCCTAATACTGATAAAAAACACACACATATATATATATACACATATTTCTATTTCAAAATCGATCAGATTTCTTTCTTTTTAAACCCAATTAAAATATGGCAAACAAGTGGATTCCGAAGCTTAATATCAAATAAAAACCCCCAACATAAAAAACTATGTATGTTTTTCTATTTCGAAATCGATTAGATTTCCTTTTAAAAATTAAATAAAATATGGCCAAAAAATTGGATGTCGAAGCTTTTCCCTTATATTAAACCCTAATATCATTTTGTTTTTTTTCCTGCTTCAAAATCGATTAGATTTCCTTTTGAAATCTAATGAAAAAAACAAAATTGATTTTGAAGCTTTCCCCTAATATCAAATTAAAATCCAATTATTAAAATATGTTCAAAAATTGGATTTCGATGCTTCCCCTAATCTTGCATGAAAAATTCCAATATAAAAAACTAAATTTGTTCTATTTCAGAATCGATTAGATTTCCTTGTAAATTCAAATTAAGATATTGCCAGAAATTGGATTTCGAAGCTTTCCCCTCATATTAAACCCTCATATCAAAGACTATTTTTTCTATATCAAAATTCATTAGATTTCCTTTTGAAATCTAATTAGAATATGGTCAAAAATTGGATTTTGAAGTTTTCCCCTAATATTACATTAAAAAACCCTAATATAAAATATTATTTTTTCTTTTTTGAAATCGATTCGATTTCCTTTTAAATTGTAGTAACAAAAATAAAAACAAAAACCGGATTTCGAAATGTTTCCTCTAATATTAAATTACCAGCCCTAATATATTTAAAAAAAAACTGTTTCAAAATCGATTAGTTTTCTGTTTAACATATAATTAAGATATTGCTAAAAATTGGATTTCGAAGTTTTCCCCTAAGATTAAATTAAAAACACTAATAAAAAAAAACTATGTTTTTTCGATTTCAAGAATCGATTAGATTTCCTTTTGACATCCAGCAAAAATATTGCCAGGAAATGCCAAAAAGTGGATTTCGAAGTTTTCCCCCAATATTATATAAACGTTGTAATATAAAATACTTATTTTTTCGACCTTAAAAGACCCTAGTTTAAAAAATCACCGGGGCTGACTAGTTTTTATTTTTTGGTGGTGAAATCCTGAAATGGGACCTTCATGTTTAATTTGTTTTTGAAAAGGTATCAATTAAAAGTCAAACTGGCCAGCCTGAAATTTCCCAAAATTTAACGCGGACCCTAGTAAAAGGAATCAATGTAATATTTTAGTATTTAGGGTACGTTTAGTAAAAGGAGGTGGGGATTAGTAAGGTTTTCAATTTAATATAAGGGGAAGCTTCGAAATCCAATTTGGCAAGATTTGAGTTAGATTTTGAATAGGAATTCAATCGGTTTTGAAATATAAAGTTCATTTTTTTAAACGAATGTTTTCAATTTAATGTCAGGGGGAAGCTTCGGAATCCAATTTTGGCAATATTTTAGTTAGATGTTATTTAAAAATGTTTTCCAATTTAATTTTTTTTAACCAAGGGGGAAGTTTCGCACCCTCATACGAAATACCCACTAAATACAAAAAACTATTCCGTGTGTTCATTATTGGGTGGGGAGGGGCAGACGGTTTATCATGACGCAGGGATTGGTCAGGCATCACTTGCTGGAATTCTTGGATTCTTTTGGGATGATTGGTATGATGTTTAGTCAGGCATGGTTCCCTTCAGTCATGCACGATTTTTGCAAAAATCCTATTTAGGCACGACCCCAAAATCCCAGCCCGGCAAATTCCGGCCCGGGCCCGGCAAATTCCGGCCCGCGCCCTGCAAATTCCGGCCCTGCGTTTTTCCAAAATCAGGCAAAACCAGTAAATCAGGTATTAAGTCAGGTGTAGTTACCTTTTAAGTCATTAAGGCTAGTCAGGCATGGTTCCAGTGGGTACCTTTTAATTGTGAAGGCTAGTCAGGCATGGTTCCCTGAATTCAGGGGCATGGGTACCTTTTAATTATGAAGGCTAGTCAGGCATGGGTTCTGTTAAGTCAGGCGTGGGTGGGTACCTCTTAATTATGAAGGCTAGTCAGGCATGGTTCCCTTAAGTCGGGTGTGGTTACGCTTTAAGTCATGAAGGCTAGTCAGGCATGGGTACCTTTTAAGTGATGAAATCTGAATCAGGCGGAGCTCCTATTCTAAATGTGTTAAATCCAATTGTTCAGTGTGGAAAATCGATTTTTTGGCTGGTCTACGGGCAAACCCTGTGTCTTCCAATACCATAGCGTGCTGATGTCGCTTGCCTGCATAATAGTTAAGGCCAAAGCTTAGGTCATCAGTGTGATCCTGAAATGGCGCCACGACCAAGAAGATGACATGTGTAAAATGGGCCCTGGATTAACAAAGGCTGACTAATGAATTTGGAGGATGCCACTAAAGTATGACATGTAATCACTTTTGAGGAGCACTCTATGGCACGCAGCGCGCGCAGCCTGCTTTACGGTTTAGCGTTTGAAAGTTTTAGGCTTTGCCTCTATGGCACGCAGCGTTTGAAAGTTTAACCGTTTACCTCTATGGCAGGCTGTGCGCGCAGTACGCGTTACGGTTTAAAGTTTGAAAGTTTTAGGGTTTATGTGTGTGGCACGCAGTGCGCGCAGCGCGCATTAGGGTTTAGGGTTTGGAAGTTTTATAGTTTATTTTATTGCATGCAGCGTGCACAGCGTGGGTTGAACTTTAGGGTTTCGAAGTTTTAGGGTTCACCTCCATGACACGATGGTTTAGGGTTTGGAGATTTGAAGGGGTACTTCTATGGCACACAGCGCGCGCAGCGCGCGCTAGGGTTTAGGGTTTAGGGTTTGGAAATTTTAGGGTTTACCTCTATGACACGAGAGTTTCAGGTTTGAAGATTTTAGGGTTTATTTCTATTGCACAAAGCGCGCGCAGCGCGCATTAGTGTTTAGGGTTTGAAGGTTTTAGGGCTTATCTCTGGCACGCAGCGCGCACAGCACGCATTAGGGTTTAGGGTTTGGAAGTTTTAGGGTTTATTTTATTGCATGCAGCGCGCACACCGCGGGTTAAACTTTAGGGTTTGGAAGTTGCATAACACGATGGTTTAGGGTTTGGAAATTTTAGGGTTTACTTCTCTGGGACACAGCGCGCGCACCGCGCATTAGGGTTTAGGGTTTGGAAGTTTTAGGGTTTACTTTATTGCATGCAGCGCGTGCAGCGCGCATAGAGTTTAGGGTTTGGAAGTTTTAGGGTTTCAAGGGTTCCAAGGTTCCAGGGTACCAGGGTCCCACGGTTTCAGGGTTCCAAGGTTTCCAGGGTTCCAAGGGTTCCAAGGGTTCCAGGGTTTCAGGGTTCCAGGATCCCAGCAGGGTGCCAGGTGTGCAGGGTTGCAGGGTTCCAAGGTTCCAGGGTTCCAAGGTTGCAGGGTTCCAGAATCCTTGAGGGTTCCAGGGTGCCAAGGTTCCAAGGTTTCAGGGTTCCACGGTCGCAGGGTTCCAAGGTTCCAGGGTTTCAGGGTTCCAGGGTTCCGGGGTTCCAGGGTTCCAGGGTTCCAGGGTTCCGGGGTTCCAAGGTTTCAGGGTTCCAGGGTTCCAGGGTTCCAGGGTACCAGGGTCCCACGGTTTCAGGGTTCCAAGGTTTCCAGGGTTTCCAGGGTTCCAAGGGTTCCAAGGGTTCCAAGGGTTCCAAGGGTTCCAGGGTTTCAGGGTTCCAGGATCCCAGCAGGGTGCCAGGTGTGCAGGGTTGCAGGGTTCCAAGGTTCCAGGGTTCCAAGGTTGCAGGGTTCCAGAATCCTTGAGGGTTCCAGGGTGCCAAGGTTCCAAGGTTTCAGGGTTCCACGGTCGCAGGGTTCCAAGGTTCCAGGGTTTCAGGGTTCCAGGGTTCCAGGGTTCCAGGGTTCCAGGGTTCCGGGGTTCCAAGGGGGTTCCAGGGTTCCAGGGTTCCGGGGTTCCAAGGTTTCAGGGTTCCAGGGTTCCAGGGGGGTTCCAAGGGTTCCAGGGTTCCAGGGTTCCAGGGTTCCATTCCGGATTTTGAAGGCTGCAAGTCCCCGCGAGCCAGCCCCAGCCCTAGAGATTGAAACCCAACAGGCCCTGCTGTTGGGAATTATATAACATATAAGACCCAACTATCATGGGGAAATATTATGGGATATAATGGGATTTAATGGGATACATATAATGATATACGATCAAAGATATGATATTTTTTTGTGCGTCTGAAGATGGGGGATATCCGGGATATCCATTTTCAAACGATGATTATCCAGAGATAATCCTTGATAATACCATTATATACCATTATAATGATCCAGAATATCCATCAATGATAATCCTTGAAAATGATATCCTTTGATAATCACCTCCAGAACTTTCGGAGCTGGCAACGTCCTTGATCCCAGGCAACGCGCGGGCATCGTCCAAATCCTCGTACATTTTGTCGCCAAAGCGAGTCACCCAAACATTCCTTGATCGCCGCGGCCGAAGGGGAGGTACAGGGTCAAAAATAGCTGGCATTTGCAGTTTCCAAGGCTCCAAATATCTCCAAATCCTGATCCAACCAGGATCCAATTGGAACTTTGACCAAAAAAACATACAAACATCAATGAAGCTCCGGTGTGGCCGCATGGTGGACTTGGATCCAATGGAAACTCCATCCAATTTTGGAGGTATCTGACTATGACATGAAGTAATGTTGCATTTCAGAGCATTGGTCATCAATTGTTGGTGTCCACTCCACCTACTGAAGTCAAGTGCGCCCATGACCATCCATTTTCCATCATTGCAGGGCATGTGAGTGTCTGAATCTGGATATATTCTCAAAGAAGAGCTACAGTAAATGGCTAAATGCAATGTCCATCTCAAATGAAACCCTGGTTTGAGATAGTCAGTAAGCAACAAATGAACTAACATGCGAGTTACCAGTTTCTGCAACCAAGGTGCACCTAGTTATTGATACACATAAACATATTTTTTTTCCTTGTGCATAATTATCTTGTACCAAGAGGACATTTCATGGTGTACCCTCTCGTAATTCACATAGCTATGGAAAATATTGGAAAATCACCATTTACCAAAGGTTCCAAAGGGTAAGATTAATCATCAACAAAAATATTGGAAAATCACCATTTACCAAAGGGTAAGATTCATCATCAACAAATTTCCATAGTTGGCTATGGATCAATACCTATTAATACCATTTTTAGTGGGATGAACATCCATTTTACATCATTTTACCAGCTATTTTGATGTTCACCAGGGGTACAAGGTTTTGACACACTGCCAGTTAGCAAACTCTTGGTCTTTTCCAACGGCCCAAGGCTCTTGTTCTTGGCCGTTTCGCGATGCTTCCGCACGATCTCCGTGACGGCGTGAAACTGTCGCTCCTGCTCCGCCAGGTCCTGCGGGTGAACGTGGTGAAACGAGATGAAACGAGGAAATAATGGGAGAATCATAAGAAAATCATGGGGAAACCAGAAAATGTTTGTAAATGATCGGGAAAAAGCCTAATTTTGTGTCCAAAATGAGACACCAATCCCAGAGGTCCATAGTCAACATGTCACCAAAAGAGCAGTTTGACATCCCGGTGCATTCGAGCCATTGGCCGAATCCAGGACAAAACCAGGGGGGACCTATAGATTGTGCTCCGAACTCGAAGGTACACTATGTCTTCAATCCTCTCCAGTGAATGTCTTGCGACTTGCAGTGTGCGGCCAATTCTTCCAACATGTCCCCGCGCCTTTCCACGACTTCCCCAAATCAAGGACAGTTCACAAGTCAAAATGTCATCAATCACTGCAATATTAAACACCCCGGAGAAACGATGGTTTAGTAGGGGAAAATTACACATGTTGGTGCTAAAACTTAGGGTTTGTTCAATGATGGAATTACCAGTGTGCACATTCCACTAGATTGAACCTCCGTGCGCCTCGGGATGCTCTGGAGCATTCTTCACTTGACCACACTCCTACAATGATCCCAGCAATTACAGGGGCTGGAGTTAGGTGGGACAATATTGGCCTATCTTGGATGCCCTGCTTAGCTGTATAGCATCATTTAGAGATTAATAAGATTAAATAAGATTCAATAAGTATTAAAGTATATTAAAGTACCTATCGAAGGCTGAGTCAGTATTTGATCCCCCAAGATATGTTGATACTAGATTCTTACGATCAAAAAAAATGTGAGCGACTGGATTTCACAGGCCCAAACAGCTGGGGATGCTCTAAATAATATGGCCCAACATGGTCCATTCTATCAAACAATATGCTCTGGATAAAAAGACTCCAAGATGTAAGGTCTCATGCCACCAAGATGCATGCTTGTGGTTCACCCAGTGCTTCCGTTGACACTCCCTGGTACAATACCTGAGACTGAATGAAAAAGAGCCGCTTGCTTCAAGTCCGGTGTCACCAAATGGCACCGCACCACATATCATTATAACTTATTATAACGTAAGAGTAACAAATGAAGTTCATGAATGGGTACATCCTCGAACTCCAGAGGAAATCTTAGCCCCCATTGGCAAAAGACTGGGATTAATATATTTAATATTATGAACTAACCCGATTTTGAGTTGTCGAAAACCCTAGTGAGGGGTATGTAGAACCCCATTATGATTGGTATATAAGTGTAAGGTACCACTACCAAGAACGACGGCCCTGAGATGAACCTGGTCGATCATCTTTCAAAGGAACGGAAAGTAGAAAAGTTGAAATTCCCTATTCAAACATACTAACTGAGTAGATGATATCTGTACAATTACCCTCTGGTAATTTAACATAGCTATGGAAAATGACCATTTATAGTGGATTTTCCCATTGAAAATGGTGATTTTCCATTGCTATGTTAGTTTACCAGAGGGTAGTTTTTGTTGAGAACCCCATTGTTTGGCCATGGAGGTGTGTTAAACAGTGTGTTATCAAAATTTATATACTTCTCACCAGTGGGTTTCAATCCCAGCCGAGGTCACCAAAAGGAGCGACAGCCACTGCACTGTTTGGTGGCTGGTGCCAGGCACATCACACAAGGCGTTGCCATGGCTCAGTCAGCAAGCTGCCCTTCCGAATGCCAATGGAGAAACACCTGGATGTAGTTTTACAAGCATTAGTAACATGATTGTTCTTCAAGTGTTGTTGAATCGACATCTTGTTCCTTAGACCTTTGTGATGCCTTAAACCAAATTTAAACCCTGATATACATGCCAAAAAAAACACTAAAATAGAGAACTAAGAACTAAACACATTCTGTCACTTGCGTCCTACCATGGAACAGGATGAACCTGCTCTGAGTTCGACAGAAGGCACATGCTGAGACAGCAAGAAACATCTCTTCTGGTTACATCCGATACATTGTCTTAAAGCGGCTTATAAAATCTAAATGGGATCGGAAGCAAGAAGTGAAGTCTTTCCATGTCTTTCCATGTCTTTCCAATGTAATTTGATCCATTTGATCCCATTTTCTCATCAGAATTGGATGCTCAATTTGGCAGAAAATTGGGATCCAGTGAGCTGCCCTTTTTGACCCCGTCGCGTCCGTGTTGGCGCATGTAGAAATGTAGACATCTTGTGGTCCGTTCACTGCCCTGCTGCTCCATCACCAGATTTTGGTCTTAGTACAGTATACAGTGGTTATATGTGGTTATCATCATTCTCCCCATTGAAATGGTTGGGGGGTGTGCCTCATTTTAAGACATGCCCAAATACGGTACTAAGACACCAGTTTTAAATCCCTCATTCCTGCGATCCGCTTGAAGTATTCGATGATTCCTGTAGGAGCGGGTAAAAATTTGCGTCTTTGCTCAATTTGGGGGGACCCAAGTGATGTACCGCAAAGATGTTTGACATCAACATCACAAGTACTGTAGCGGTTTGAGCAAACAGTACGAAAGATCAGTCAAGAATATATGCCATCTATATACAGTAAATGCCATTCATGTTCATTAGTTTCCTTGCTGGAAAACTGAAGCTACAGTGAACAGGAATGGCAATGGTGAACAGCATTGATATCCGTGTCCTTACATTTCTTGACCCATTTGTTGCTTTTCTACGCTATTCAGCTGAAATAGAATGGCATACCAAGGCAGCATCTTACCCTACACCCTAGTTAAACCAACACTAGCTTTTTGCCAGGGGTCTGTCCCAGCGACAGGGACTGATTTACATAAGGCAAAACACAATTTTTTTAACAGAGATCCCAAGTGATCATCAATTGATTTCTGACCTCAACGGCTAACTCTGACATTCTACATGGCACTCACCTTTCATGGTGATTTCAACCGGAGCGAAAACCGGACAGAAAACCCATCACTGAGCGCGTGAATTTCTTACAGCGACAGTGATCCCCTTGGGCCGAGGATGTGGTCACCTACCCTGCCAGGATTTGCACCATGAAGATGACCTTTCCTGTGAAGTTTTTGTCCTGTTATCACTATTGAATGGGGGGAAGAATTTGATGCATTCTGCACTCTTGAAATTGTTTCCTCATTTCTAGACTGATCCACAAGCATCCACGTTTACAGTCTCCAGTCATTTCTTCGGCATTTGGCAGAAACAATCCTCTACTCCTTTAGGACAGTTTGTTTGGCTACCAAAAAATAAGGAGAACAAAGCACTGTCCCATGGTGGGAAACCCTACTCGCAGCTGGCCATTTAGGTGACCCAATCGCAGACCCTACGGCCATCCCAACCAGCATTGGCGCGGGCATACTGCCAATTTATAGCCATGATCAAGATATAGAATAAAGAAAATAAACCATCAAATGTGGCGTTTTCCCATGAAGTTTAGACAAATTCACTTCTGACACTGTGGCTGTTGCCGCTGTTATTTTCTCTGGCACTTTCAGATCTTTACTTGCAACAAGCTACGTGCTTGCATGTCAAGCAGGACACCACACGACTAGTTCTATATCAGCTATATCACACAAGTCAGGAAAAAAGTCGAAAGGATAGAACTACATCTTTTGATGCAAGGCACTTCTGATTGTAGCGCTTATCCGCCAAGAATAAATTGACTCTGCGCTGCTTTTTGGCAAAATAACCTACCAAATTTCATTCAGTTGAAACCAGCCGTGCAGAGGCACAGCTCTCTCGACCACCGAATCTGCCCTTTCAAAGAATTGGCCCCCCAAGCTACATTGGGTGTTTTCTAATTATAGAAGAAACACGCTTAACTCTTAACACCATCTCAACGTCTGAGGGTGATGGCAAGAGTCCTGTTGCTGGTGGTTGTTGGTTGCTGCTCAAATTGCTGCAGGCAGCCCCTAGAATTGTCCACCTGTCTGTTGCGAATAGCCTCACGCCTTTGCGGTGGTCAGGTGACAACCCACAGCACGGACCTTTCTTGGCTTCAGGCCTCCGTCTTTTGACCTAGGAAACAGCTGGGTTCAAAATGGCTCAAGGGGCCAAATGATGCGCAGTGACATGAACCCTGAGACCAGCCGGGGGAGAGGTCTCTATATCAATCCTTTGGCTGATAGGAATCTAAATGTTTGTGCACATTGTGGTTGTTGTTGTCACATTGTTGCGTCAAAACGATCTCATACTAATACTGCATACTGTACACCTTGAAGGGCTAGTTTCATAGCGTTAACAGAGAAGTAGTGCCAAGGCTGAACTTATTCAGGACGAAGTGCCAAGAGCATCCAAAAGCTGTTGGACTTTCTCCTTTAATCTGGGTAAATTATATTAATGTGCTAAACTGAATAACGGCTATATCCTGGGGATTCCCCGAATCCTAACCATGATTCCAGGGCTCGGGAGCTTAATGTCTACCCTCTGGTAAACAAACATAGCTATTGAAAATGGCCATAAAAATAGTTGATTTGCCCATGAACAATGGTTATTTCCCATAGTTATGTAAACGTTTACCAGGGGGTAAATCATCACATTTCAACCGAATGAATTCGCTTCTATCATCCCGCATTGGGATGGAATTGCTGAGTCTCCCTGACGCTTACCAGGAGGAAAGCATTCAGTTGGATTGGCCTCAATGCTCAAAAACCAGAGGATCAAGTGGGTTTGTCAAAACGATGTGTACGTATGTATATTATATTTGACATATATATATATATTCTATTATGATAGATATTGTATGTTTGTATGTTTGTATGTTTGTATGTTTGTATGTTTGTATGTATGTATGTATGTATGTTTGTATGTTTGTATGTTTGTATGTTTGTATGTTTGTATGTATGTATGTATGTATGTATGTATGTATGTATGTATGTATGTATGTGTGTATGTATGTATGTATGTATGTATGTATGTATGTATGTATGTATGTATGTATGTATGTATGTATGTATGTATGTATGTATGTATGTATGTATGTATGTATGTATGTATGTATGTATGTATGTATGTATGTATGTATGTAGTATGTATGTTAATGGTATGTATGTATGTATGTATGTATGTATGTATGTATGTATGTATGTATGTATGTATGTATGTATGTATGTATGTATGTATGTATGTATGTATGTATGTATGTATGTATGTATGTATGTATGTATGTATGTATGTATGTATGTTGTATGTATGTATGTATGTATGTATGTATGTATGTATGTATGTATGTATGTATGTATGTATGTATGTATGTATGTATGTATGTATGTATGTATGTATGTATGTATGTATGTATGTATGTATGTATAGTGTATGTAGATGTATATCCCCAAATAACCAGTTCAATGAGAAAATGATGACAACTGATGATCAACCACGGGATTGCGATGGCATTGGTTTTTTCGAACTCTGGAAGCTTTGGGGGGATCAACTCCTCCAATCCCTGGCGGAAACTGATTTCTGTCGACATACTGCGGACTTCCCATATCCTCACCTATCTCTGGAATGTTCAACTATTCCTAGTGAAGTCACTTAGGCTCCAAAACCAGAAGCTTCGAAGATTTTGGGAAATCCCTGGTGGGTGGTACAAATCTACCAGTTTCCCAACCATTTATCTCCCTGTCTGGTAATATCATGTTTCAACCATGGTAACCCCGTTCGGTTCTTCCGTCGGCCTTGGTTGTCTCCTGGCCAAAGACCTCAGAGGTCACCCATCTGGCGGAGCCAACATGCGCACCAAAAGCCATTTGTACTGCTCTTCATAAGGGGAGAAAAAAAAGGGATGTGAACCAAATATCATGGGGATCTAAAATATCAAGATAGTCAAATATATATATATATATATGTATATGTATATGTATATATATGCAGCCAGCAACACCATAGTTAGGCCTAGAACGGATGTGATCAGCCAAGGTTTAGGACCTATAGGATGAAAATTGGGTAGCCCCTGGTAGCCCATTCCATTGGTGAATCGTCAGTATCTCTAAGTTATGGTAGAAATTTGATCTGATCTGGGGCTTGTCCCCATTTTCAGACAGACCCAAATATCATACTATATCATACTGTTGGTGATATATATATATATAATAATTATTATTATTATTATAATTATTATTATTATTATTATATATATTATTATATATATATCATATATATTATATATATTATATAATATATATATATATATCATGATAACCCATGGTCTTTCCCCATGGATTCTTGGTTTGTTAAAAAGTCAGTTCTTGTTGGTTGACAGTTGCTGGTGATATTAAGCCAATTGTATAACCATTATATAACCCAGCTATTCTTGGTTTATCCCCTTACCCTCCAGTAACCTAACATAGCTATGGAAAATGATCCATTCATAGATGGTTTACCAGAGGGTTACTGGGGATAAACCCACTTCTTGTTGGTTCACCCTCAGTTGTGGGTTATATCATGAGTTATATCACATTACATAACCATTATATGACCCAGATTATGATTATACATATAGATAATATCACATAGTACTATATTTATTATTATCATTATTATTACCCAGTTATGATTATATCACAATAATGATTGTTAAATAAATAAATCATTATACCCATGTTATCATCACAATATGATAATCTATGGTTATATCACATTGTTATGA